AAGTTATTTCTAAATTACCTCATTCCCTGTACTCATAAATTCTATAAAAAACTGTATTCCTTTGAAATATCTGTTCTAAAAGCCAAAATTACATTAAATGGTCTCATCATTTCTTGTTTGTATTATTCCAGTATTTACATAATTGGTCTTCCTGACTCCTATCTTTCCATATTCAATTTACCATTTACTTATTTTTCTAAAGTATTGATATTTTATACTTTTACTTTCCTATTTAAAAACCGTACTAATCTCAGCTCAGTCTCCAAGTGGGTTCTCTAGTAAGGGGAGCAGGGGCTGTCTCGATTATAAACTCAAAGGCTGGCTCTTTGATCACCTCCCGGAGTGGGGAGCAGCCTTACCAGGCCAAAGAGGAAGACAATGCAGCCAGTCCTGATGAGACCTGATAGGCTAGGGTCAGATGGAAGGAGAAGAGAACCTCCCATATCAGTGGACTTGGGGAGGGACATAGGAGGAGAAGAAAGGGGGAGGGTGGGATTGGGAGGGGACATAGGAGGGGACTACAGCTAGGGTATAAAGAGAAGAAATTGTAATAAATAAATAAAAGAATACAGATATTTACAACTATTTATCGACCTATATATGACTTTAAAGACACTCCTCAATCCCAAAACATTATGCCATAAAAATTAGAAACCAAATAAAATGGTGACTACAGAAAAAGGACATAGAAGTACTTTTGTTCTGAGTCTCACTAGGATACACATTAGTTTATATGAGCATCATACAATCCAGGGCACCCCTATCAATGTGCTAATTTTTCTGTTATGTTTTCATGCCATCTAAGAGGAAAATGGGTTTGGCAGTGGTCAGTATAGATGAAATCTGAGTTACGCCTGTCTTTCAAAAAAGTGTAAACGTTTACCATCAAATCACTAGATTTGAGTTAAAGTACATTTCCTTAAAATTTATTTAAAAATTTTCTTCATTTCTTCCTAGTTTCTGATATTGTTTGAGTGTTACTGGAAGTAGATGTTATCTTAAACAAAACAGCATATCTCTAGTAAACACACTTTCAACCATGCATCACTATGACTGTTTCTGCTGTCTAGAGGATCCCTACACTAATGAAATGTGCCTCTTAGGAAGGCCTTAGTTTCACCTGCAAACCCACTATAAACAGATTACTGACTAAAGCTGCAAATGATGCTTCTGAAGCTTGCTTCCCTAGGTAGCCAATGAGAATCAATTCCTTTTTCATGTGTTCCTTCGGGCATTGCCATTCATCACTGAATTGCTAACGCTATGAAGATCATTCGTTACTACTACATCATTTTTGTAGAAGCCAGGACTATGCCTCTAATTTTCATTTTGTTTTAGCCATTATCTAGACTTCTTAACGTTTTAATTGCTTAGTATATTTAAGAAACAGAGTACAATGAATGTAGTACTCAGGAGAAAGGCCCTAGCCTAGCATAACCAAGGCTCTGGGTTTGATCTGCATTTCTGCAGTTTTCAACTGCTTAACTTATTAATTTTCTCTCTTCTCCATCATACAACAAACTAATGCTGTTTTGTTGGAAATGAATATTTGTCTTTTGTGCTTTTTAATTAGATCTTTTTGCTAAGATACCCCTATCTATATTCTTAAAGTCTAGTTTGCTCTACTTTAACAATAAAAAATGGATTCATTCTGAGTTTACTACAAGTACCCACTGTTTAAATACACACATAACTCCCATCTCCAAACACCTTACTGGGATGGATAATTGCAAGAAAGAACTTTTTTTCATACTATATGACTAGCCCATCCAACATTTAACTTATTCTATATCCTAGCCTCTTATAATACAGCTTATAATAAAACCTTTGACCTGCCTGCGTTTGATCTGTCCTGTCTGCAAGATATCCTGGGATAATGGTGTTGCATAAATCCTGGAAGTGACCAACCACTTGAGGTCCACACAAGAGAGAGTCAACACCCAACACTGCCTGAATAGCCAGGACCAGAGGCTGGATAGCCAGTGACTCATGATAGAAACAAATATGATTGGCAAAAGTCAATGTCAATGAGGTGATTTCTAATGATGTTATGCTATACTTGTAGATCAGTGCCTGGCCCAATTGTCATTTGAGAGGCATCATCCAGCAAATGATGGAAGTAGATTCACAGCCAAATACATAGAGGCAGGGGAACCCCACAGAAGAGGAAGAAGGATTACAGGAGCAAGAAAGTTTGAGGACACCAGGAAAACACAACCACAGAACACAGACATCAACTAAGTAGGGCTCATGAGGGATAACAGAGACTGAAGTGACATTCAAGGAGCCTGCACAGGTCTGTGCCAGGTCCTCTGCACATGTTATGGTTGTATAGTTGCATGTTCTTCTGGGACTCCTAACTTGGGGAGTGAGAGGTATCTCTGACTCCTTTGCTTGCTCCTGGGACCCCTTTTCCTCCTACGGAGAAGTGGTCTCACCCAGCCTTGATATGACGGTTTGTGCCTAGTCTTATTTTAAGTTGTTATGCCATGTCGCCAAGTGGGCTTTGAAGCTTCAAAAGCCCAAACTAGGTCCAGTCTCTCACTCTCAGAGCCTGTGAATCTGGATATTACTCTCAACTTCTTTTTCAGCACTGTACCTGCCTGCATGCTTCCATGTTCCCTGATAATAATGAACTAACCCTCTAAAACTATAAGCAAGCCCCCAACTAAGTGCTTTCTTTTATAAAAGTCACCTTTGTCATGGTGTCTCCGCACAGCAATATGACAGTGACTCAGACAACACCTAACTAGATACACGTGTTTTACAACTGGCAAGTAGGATATATATGTGACAGAGAAATGCAGCACTTGTCTTTCTAAGCCTGGGTTTTCTTGTTTTATATAATGTCTTACTGGTCAACTAATTTTCATACAAATTTCATCATTTCATTTTTTATTATGGTTGTTTCCATGTAGCATGTTTTCATTAACCACTCATCTCTTAATAGTCTGATTAAGGTTGATTCCACTTCTATTATGAAATGAGCAGAAATGAACATGATTAAGAAAGAAATATTTTTGTGGTTTAGCTTTATGCCATGACCAAGCATAGCTGGGTCATATGAAGTCCCATTTTTACTATTTTTGACAAGCTTACACACATAGTTCATACTCTCAGCACAGTGACTAAGATTCCTCAGAAAAACACATACTACTCTGTTATTCCATCCCAATAGTTGGAACTGCTGTCACCAAAAAAAGAAAAAACAAAACAACAACAAAACAGATGACAACAGAACCTGAGGAGGATGAGGACAAGAGAAACCTTTACTAGATACTCTTTATTAGGTAACTCTAATTGTTTTTAACTTCAACCCCTACCTATGACTTTTCTGATTTTTGCAGAAACCATTTTTTTTCTTTATTTCCTCAGCATATCCCAATCATTGCACAATAAAACATTCTGCTTTTTGCAATTCAAAAAAGACCCATGAAATATAGGGAAGCATTTTAATGTTTCTTTATATAACGTTCTAAAATTTCTTTTACATAAATACCTCCAACACAGGGTGATTTGGAATCGTCTTGTTTCAACCAAGTAGCCACTGAGCACCACCCTTTCTACCACTGCTGTACACCTCTGGATCCTGCTTGAAGCCAATTCCCTTTCAAAGATATCTACATCACATCTCCCTTTCAGGTCATTTCTAGTAAAATTTTTATTTCCTTCCCAAAGAAAAAGAATTTTTCCTCAAACTCACATCTGTTCTGTGTATGTTCTTCCGCTACTGTAAATACGGAAGGACAAAATTTACACATGTTAAAAATTACATATCACATATTTTACAATTCACAAATCCTATGGGAAAAACAAGTATTAGAATGATTCAAATTACTTTTTTACTTGTTTTCATAGTCACAGGTTTTGCAATAATTTTAAGGAGCCATTTCTTATCAATTTGTTAAGGTATATTATACTCTGTATATAAATGACCTTTATTCCTTATAAAACTAACTTTGCAATTCCAGCTTCATAATTTCATATATTTAAGCAGCTCCTGTGGTGGAGTTTCGGGTAATCAAAATTAATGTCAGAATACACAGAATTATCAAAAACAAAGCCAACTGAAGATTAAGAACTTGGGGAAACTTTAAAATCTATATACAAGTCCTGTATGTCCAAGGTTTGTCCATCTGTAACTCTCTCTCTTGGCTGAATAAGAGACAAAATGATAGAAAAATGGGGCAGGAGCTGTGTCTACTCTCTATGCCACCTACTTGTGCCTCACACTGGCTAGTTCACGCAGACACCCCTAATGTAGCGAATCAAACAAACAATAAACAACAACAAAAACCACCTTTGAGTTCTAAACTGTTTCCATACAAAAATGTATCTATCGTCACTTCTTTTTCTCATACGTTACTTAAATAATGATAATAATAATATCTACAGATTTCCAGGCCAGGCCTAGCAGCGGAAAGAGTTTAGGACCCATTTAATAAGGCTGTCTGTCTTCCACTCCTGAGTGGACAGTGCATGCCACACCTCTGAAAGCTCAATAGCTCTTTTTTTTTTTTTTAATTTTATTTTTTTCTTATCAGTTACATTTTATTAACTCTGTATCCCTCAATAGCTCTTTTTAAGGACCAGGGTGCCCAAACTCTTCTCTCTAGAAAGCAACATTAGCTTCTATGAAAATATCCACTCTTCGGTGGACAAATTACCTGGTGCGGAAAAACATCCCTAAGCGGACACCTGACTCAGCACCTCCCGCTGTAAGTGCGGCTGGGCACGGCAGAGCATGGCAGGGCCAGCCTGGACCACGGTGCTCAGAAGCCATGCCTTGAGGTCTAAGCTGGTCTATGTCCTTCTAACCCTACGACCTAAGGCGTTGGCTGCTGGGGAAATCCAACACAAACATTTCTTCCCCCAAGGGGGTATGGGGAACAAGCAGGCGACCAGGAGAGCTCTAAGAATTAGCTGCGCAGCCAGGTATTAACAACTGGAGATGATCTCTGCGAACTATTGACAAAACAGAACCCACAAACCCGTCTTACCAGCAACGCCACAAGCAGAGGCCAAAAGAAGATGGCACACAGCGAACCGAGTAACCGTTGGTCTCACCTCGGAGAGGGCGGCACTTCCTGTGGCAGCTCCCGCCTCAGAGGAAAGGAAGGGGCGTGTCACTCAAAGTTGATTTTGCAAATGAAATTATTTCTAAACACTAAAATAACAAAATGGTACATTGTATTATTTAAAGACAAAAATTCTCAAAATTTATTTGTTCATTATATAAATTTAAAATAACGTTAGCAATTATTGGCATGTGTTGGTATGTTTTAATTAATATATCAAAATTAATGTCTTTAATATTTTAACTAATAATATTTAGCTAACATTTCTGAAGAACATGTTTAATATGATATCACGGTTTTTAAATTTTTTAAATTACCTCTTGTGATGGTTTGGATGCTAATAGACTCTATACAGTGATCAATCTGAAGATGTGGTCCTCAGTTGATAGAATTGTTTGTCAAGCCTTAGGAGGTGTACCCTCACTGGAGGAGCTGTGACCTTTTGGAAAGAGATGTGACTTTATTGGAGAAGGTCTGTAAGGGTTGGGGGTGGGAGGGCTTTCAGGTTTTAAAATCATAAGCCATTCCCTCCATTCTCTGCCACCTGCTTGCAGATCAGTAGATAAGCTGAGTTACTGCCTCACTACCATTCCTACCTGCTGCTATGATCCCCTCCATGATAGTTAAGAACTCTAACCCTCTGAAACTGTAAGGCCCAAATTAAAGGTTTCTTTTATAAGTTCCAGTGCCCATTGTGTTTTATATCAGTAATAGAAAAGTAACTGAGAAACCTTATGTGTTCTTAAGTTCTTTTGGTTCTTGTGTCACACAGAAATTCACCAATGTTATAATTTTAATTAATTATAATAAATTTAGTAAAACATACGATTTTTATTTTTAAAAAATTAATACAAAATAAAAATAAAAGAAACTGGCCAGAACCAGAGAGTTTTCTAGGTAAGCTCTCTAATAATTTTAGTCCAAAGATTTTTGTTTGTTTTCTTTTTTTAATTAATTTATTTTTTTAATAATTACAGTTTATTCACTTTGTATCTCAGCTATAGCCCCCTTCTTCTTCCCCTCCCATTCCACCCTATTTCCTTCTTCTCCTCCCATAACCCTCCCCTTGTTCACTGATAAGGGAAGTCCACCTCCCCTTCCATATGACCCTAGCTTATCAGGTCTCATCAGGACTGGCTGCATTGCCTTCCTCTGTGGCCTGGTAAGTCTGTTCCCTCTTCAGGGAAGCTGATCAAAGAGCAGGGAACTGAGTTCTTGTCATAGACAGTCTCTGTTCCCATTACTATGGAAGCCACTTGGATACTAAGATGCCATGGGATACATCTGTGCAGGGGTTCTAGGTTATCTCCGTTAATGGTCCTTGGTTGGAGTATCAGTTTAAGAAAAGACCCCTGTGTCCAGATTTTTGGTTCTGTTACTCTTCTTGTGGAGTTCCTGTCCCCTCCAGGTCTTTCTATCTCCCCCTTCTTTCTTAAGATTCCCTGCACTCTGCCCGAAGTTTGGCTATGAGTGTCAGCATACCATGCAGGGTAGAGTCTTTCAACGGCCCTCATGGGTATGTTCCTGTCCTGTTCTGTTTTCTCCCTCTTTTGATGTCCATCTCCTTTTCTTTCTGAATGAGGATTGAGCATCTTAGGTCCTTCTTCTTAACTTAAGTATATTGATTTTAATATGTTTACCCTATATTGTATGTATAGTATCCACTTATAAGTGAGTATATATCATAAGTGTGTTTCTGCTTCTGGGATACCCCTCTCAGGATGATCTTTTCTAGTTCCCACCTTTTGTCTGCAAGTTTCATGATTTCCTTGTTTTTAATTGCTGAGTAGTATTCCATTGTGTAAATGTAACACAATTTCTGTATCTATTCCTGAACTGAGGGACATCTGGGTTGTTTCCAGCTTCTGGCTATTACAAATAAAGCTGCTAAGAACATGGTTGAGCAAATGTATTTGTTGTATACTTGGGCATCTTTTGAGGCTTAAGAGTGGTATAGATGGATCTTGAGGTAGCACTATTCCTAATTGTCTGAGAAAGCGCCAGATTGATTTCCAACGTGCTTGTACAAGTTTACAAGATTTTAAAAGAAAAATCCTACAAGATTATATGTATTTTGTATATGTGTGGGCAGGCTCTAACTTTAACATATGTCTTGAAGTTGTCCTAGTCATCTTTTCAAGCAGAAAAAAAAAACAAATTTGATTACAAAAGCAGAAATAGCAGTCAGTCTTATAACCAATTATCTTTCTAGAACAGCAAATTTTACAAAATCAGTGAGTTTGAGAATAGTCGTTAACTTCTGGAACAGAGGGAAATGGGCTGACGGGGTACAGGCTGTACGAATAGAGGCTTATATACTAGAGCTAATTTTTTAATTCTTATTTCCTCAAGTATAGTAAGTCTAAACTTTAAATGTAATGCTAGCCATCATTTAATATGAATTCATAGTTTAAAAAATGAACTTATTTATGTTGTCAATTCAATTTTCATTGTAAATGACACATTCATGTAAAATATATATTTTTCAGCCCAAGTATCCTCATAATTTTTGCCTCCGTTCATAGTACTTATCTTCAGACATGCTTATACATAAACTTTTCATTATTTACAGTGTGCTTGAAGACATTATCCAGTTTTTATTCTATAAATTGAACTAAATCACATGCGAAACCAATAATATACATACTTTCATATGTTTTGTATATCATCAAAGTAAGAAAATAAGGAGAAGGAGGGCTCCTACAGCTGATTGAAACATACAAAAAATAAAACTGGATATTTTATGAGGTCTATCTAGATGATGAGGATTAGGGACATGGCTCAAAAGTAGAGGGCTAGCCTACTTTTGTAAGCTCCTGGTTTGATTCCCAGCACAACGTAATGATACACAGCTGTTCTTGTATGAATCTGCTGTGCCTCATAACGGTAATCCCAGCACTCAAGAGACTAAGGCAAAAGGACTAGCCCCAAGTTTCTCACAAGCCTAGGCTATATAGTGAGATTCAGATGGTCTGGGATACAGGATGAGACTTTCTCTATAAGTGGGAAGAGAGAAAAGAAGAAAAAGAAATGAACTGACATGAAACCTGGGAGAAAAAAAATGGATTAAAGATATATATAGTCTGTTAGGGATGCTGGCATGCACCTATAATCACAGTACTCAGAAGGCACATGGAGATTATTGCAACAAACTTTAGTGTCCCTCGGTTTACATAGCATCAGGCTAGCCAGTACTACATGGTGATGGTCTGTTCCAAAAACACAAAAGAAAAAAGGGAGGGAGATGTGGGGAGAAAAAGAAAATAGATATGGAATCTAGTTCGAAGGAAAAAAAGTCTTGAATTAAAAAGCATCTTTCATATTGCTAATTTTTTGTCTTCTAGCACCATCATTCATAAGTATTTAGATATATATATATAGATAGATGATAGATAGATAGATAGATAGATAGATAGATAGATAGATGATAGATACATACATACATACATACATACATACATACATACATACAACAAGAATCTCAACTTTTTCACTGCTTCGTTTGCACATTGTCCTGTGATTCTGATGTGATTTCACAATGATATCATGAGAGATAGAGATGGTGCCTCTTTGCATGCTACACGCTATCAAAACTCTTGAAACAAGCCTTAGTAATGATATTTGTTGAGCTTTTGAGAGCTCAGCCCTACTGAAAAGATTTGCTGCAAAATTGAAAGAAGTTTTGCTAAATAAGATATTTGCATTTATGCAGAATACCTGTAAGAAAGACATTCACTCTGCTATGTATGGTTGTGAGAGCAGCTTCATTTAACCTCAAATTCAAAGAAAGATTTTGTGTGCTTTAAATTTATGATATTCCACCAAACCCAGCTATTATAAACTTGGGCCTCAAAAGACCCTGTATCTCAACGGCCTGCACATTGATCAGGGTAGGATTAAAAGCAATCCTAGGTAGACAGGAAGACTATATGCTGTGTTATTTTTGACCACACTGTAGCTCAATTATAACCAGACAAACAAAGAAAATAAATATTATTTGGGGGCATTTTTATAAACTAATATCTTAGCCAAGAATGAGTTCAAATATAAAATAAATACACAGATGTTAGAACATCTGTAAAATGCATTTATCATAAGGGTGACACATTCTCCTAGAGCATGGCCATGCTTTCTGAATCTTCTTAAGCTCTCCTGGAGCATGACAATCCATGTGCTTTGTAAAGCACTACTTTTTTTTTATTGTTAAGTTTTCACTTTTAAAACCAACAGTTCAGAAGTTAGTTGAGAGCTATGAATCCCATTTATTCAGAACACCCTATATTATAAGCCAAATTTGTAAGATTTTGCCTAAGTAACTCTTTTCAGATTTGCCATGTTTCAAATCTCACTTTAAACCAGCTCACTTGCCTATGCAACCCCAAGTCTAGAGCTAATTGGCTAAACAAAGGGCAGATGAGGAAACCTGTCTATCAGCAGAAAGGTGTCCTATCCCAGAGTCACTGTCCTATGATTCAGGGTCCCATTGATTTTCATTGGGCTGCTGAATAATTCAGCCTCATGAAAGAAGGCCCTGTGCTTAGGGGTTTTGTTTTTGTTTTTGTTTTTACTGGAACCAGAATAACTTTGAGTTTTAATCAGTCTACTTAGAGAAATATCTGTAGAATAAATCTCTTGCAGTTTTGCTTCATATGGTGCAAGTGTGGAAACATGTATCTCCTGTAACTCTTGTTTAAGGATATTAGGATCTTCTATATCTATTTGGATTGATAATTTGAGTAGTAAGTAGTGCCAGCCCACAAGGTATACACCAAACGAAGATTAAACAATAACCTAAGGCTTTGTGTGAGAAGCTTTATTCTGTACTAATTATAAGATTAATAATTCAAATATAATTTTATTACCTCTAAACTAAATATAGTGTAACAAAATCTGAATAAACTGCTGAATTGTGCCAGTATATGGTGATTTAAAATGTCTGTAAACTTTTGTTTTTTGTTTCATTGAAGCAAGATCGTATGTCC